TGGCCCTGCACCCTCCTTGAGCCCCGAAAGAGTAGCACCGAGCAACGCAGGCGGATGGTCTATGTTGTGGCGGCCTGGCGTTGTGGTGGGTTAGCGTGAAGGGGCCAGCTGATTCTGAGTATTTGTGGAAAGCATAAATATTTGCGTGGTGCTTGTAATTATTGTCAGGCTGTGGTGTTCATCGGCTGAGGAGGTGTAAGGCTAGAGAGGGAGCCAGGAGGGCTGTACTTGCTGCCTGACATACGGGAGCCTTTGGATGAATCACAGAATCGTTTAGGTTGGAAAAGACCTTTAAGATCATCCAGTCCAACCATTAACCTACACTACCAAGTCTACTCTAAGCCAATCAAGGGTAGACTAGACTAAACCATGCCCGAAGTGCCACATCTACCCGTTTTTTGAACACTTCCAGGGATGGTGACTCCACCACCTCTCTGGGCAGCCTGTTCCAATTCTTGACTACCCTTTCCGTAAAGAAATTTTTCCTAATTTCCAACCTAAACCTCCTCTGGGGCAGCTTAAGAAAGACTTGAAGCCAGAACCTGCTGCAGCGCGACAAACTCCTGCCAGAGCAGCCTGGCTTTCGGATGGCATTGAGCTGGGCTCTTGGGGACCCCTGGACTGGGAAGGATCACAGGACTTTGAAGGAGCTCTGTAGGTACAGACCAGGATTTTTAAGGCCTGCCTGCTGGCAGCGATCACAGACCTTGGGTTGTCTGGGTTGTCTCTCTCCTGAAAAACGCACAGCGCCGTCCGTCTGCAGAGCCCGTCCTTTGGAGGAGCTTTTGTTTAATGATAAGCTAAATCCCTAAAAGATTTATGACATTAGTTGGGTTTTTTTCACAGCCTGTTTTTTTTTAACAAAGGAAGAGTTTGTTACCGGCTTGCACTTCTGCACTGGTGGCTCCTGAGCCCCTGGGCAGACCCTCGCTGCAGGGGGAAGGCAGAGGCAAGGCGAGATGGGCCATGCCCACAGTAAAGCATGTGGCATCAGAGGGACCGCGAAGTTTAGCTGCACGTTGACCTCCACCTTTTAACAGAGAACTCGTTGTGTTGTGGGCTTTGAAGTCTTGTCACCCAAAGACAACATCTTTGAAACCTCTTGGGCCAGTAGGTTGTGACCAGCATCTTACTCTTTGGGACAGAGACTGGTTTCATTTGTTTTTGGATAACACCTATTTCATCGTGGCCCGCTCTGGAATGTAGTTAGTCATAATTGGAGTTTAAAAAAAGAGAAAAACCAACAACACAAAAACCCCAAACCACCAAATTTGGGACTGTGGCTGAATAACCTAACCAAATAACCTAACAAACTTTCTATGGTTTCCACAGCTATTCAGAGTGCTTAAAAGAGTGCATCTGAAAAAAGATGGAGACACTGGTATTTTTCGCAAATATTGCCAATTTGTAGGGTATATGCTCAGTATTAGAAACTATCATTAAAGTCTCTCTAACTAATGTGGAACAATGCATAAATGAGCTATATATTCTATTTAAGTATTTGTTGCTTTAAATAGCAGCTCCAGAGACACAAGACTGGAATAGCAGACACGTTGCTGGACATAGATGAGGTTTCACTGGCAGAGCTCTCCAGCACCTGGCTTAGGAAAATGTTGTTCCCCTTACAAATGCCAAAGCTGCATACCTTTTTACTTCTGTACTATAGTTTTTAACATTATGGTGAGTATGGCCAGCAGTTGAAGTTCATCATGGGTACTTTGGACCTGGCTGATACAGATTGAAAGGACTTTTCGTCTTAATATTTTCTTTTATTTTCCATAATTCTGAAGTGGATGGATTATACTTTTCTGGTATGTTTTTGGTTTGAAATATTATTATTCCATTTGTTTGCTGAATTGGTAACTTGGCATAGCTTCCTTATTTCTTGGACTTGTATTGATGCTGTAAAAGTTAACTTAATTTCACTGCATATAAAAAATAAAATTGCCACTCAGCCACCACTGCCTTCTATTTTGAAAGTATACTTGCATGATGTGCTTGTGCACATAGTAGTTTTAATTTCCAGCTTTGGTGCCAACATGAGCCCATTCTGTTTATTCCCCACAGTTGGAGCTTTGTGTGTTTTGGGGAGGATTTCTGTTCTGCAGCAGAAGCAGTTTTAGCAGCTGCGTGCTTTGAGGCCCCCGTGTCCGCTGGTGTGAGATCCAGCGGTGAACTGAGAGAAGGGCAGCGTGGCAGCCAGGTTGGACTGTCCCCGCTTTATGTCTTCTGCAAACTGAGGAGCCAGGCAAGGGCCTGTCTGCTACCCCTGTTCTGCAGGGCTGAAGGCAGGAAGCCTGAGCTTGGGTGTTGCAGCAGATAGCCATGGCAAGGAAATGACAAGCTGGGAGTCTTTTCAAGACACTTCTTCAAAACGAGTCGGGGCTCTTCGATTGACCGGTCCAGCTGTGAGACTCTGTGGAGCACAGATATGCACGTCTGCAAACACACACGTGACCCCTTCTCCGGGTCAGGCAGTCAGCGATGCTGGAAGATGAAGTGTCCTGGGAGGAAAATAGCATGTGGTGGCTTGGCGCCTGAAGGCACATACAAGCCAGTGAAGTTTGCCTGAATGACTCAAATGTGGCACTTGTGCATTTTGAGTCCATTGGCAAGGGCTAAGAAAAGCCATCCATCTTGTACAACTGCTTGCTAGAAAGCAGGAGGGTCCTCTGGACATTCCTGCGGTGCCTCCGAGGGCTGAGGAAACACTGGGAAAAAGCAGCCTTGGCGTGCTCGAGCCCCCACCGCCCCTGTGCTGCACACTAGCCACAGGCAGCCCCTGGAAAATGGGCGTGCTGAGGGGTGAGGTTGCTCTGGGTTGGCAGCAGCAAGACCTGGAAGAGGTTCCCTGCTCCTGGCCGCCTGCTGATGTCCTAAAATCCCTCCTGTGGTCGCGGCTGCTGGGTTAAGCATGGGAGCCATATGAAGCTGCTGCCTATGGCAAGGAAGGGCCTGGCCAAGGACAGTGCTGCCATACATATAAAAATAAGGCCTATATTTATATTTTTATATATGACTTAGAAGGCAGGGAAGGTGAATCCTGCCTCTTTGAAAGTTAATGATACTGTTGACAGCAAGAAAATAATGAGCATCAAGCTAGCTCCCTTTCAGGATTTATTCAGTACCTTTTTCCCTGTTGAGTAAGGCAATTATGTGCTTTTTGCTATGCTTCTTGGTTTTTATTTTGGGGCACCCTCACTTGCAGGTAGAAAAGAACTAAAATACACAAGGAATTCTGTCTCTAATAACATTTAAACATTGGAGACGGTGTCAGCTAAAGTGTGATTTGGTATTATTTTCCTTGCAGCTGTGGTTTTTTTTCCTTGCCATCTTGCATGTGGAATCACTGCTTTCACCTTTGCAAAGTGACTATGAATGATATGAAGTTGCACTTCTTCTCTGGCTGTCTTCAGTGTGTTACCTATAATTTAAAATAACTCCCGAAACACACAAAGTATGTTTAGAGAGGCGACACTGCTTTACTGCGCAGGGTGCAAGGTGGTATATTTCCACAAATCAAGCACACCTACTGAAGTTCATTTTGACATTTATAGATGACAGTTAACACACCACGCCTATCTAATACATAATCATTGAACTGACTGAGCATCCTCTTCTTCTGTTGGTCTGTATCTTTTCCGCTTAATTTTAAAGCTACAGTGTGATTTTAATTCACTGCCCATGCTCAAAAGGAGTGTGGGGGGGTACTCCTTTCATGCCTCAATTGAGTCGGTGGTTGCAATCTCCCCCTGCCCGAATTACCTTTCCCCCAGTTACCATGCTTCGGCAATCAATCGCCCAATTTCTCAGCATCTTCTGGGGTAAGATGTTCCCTTTTATCACTGCTCACCTCACAATTGTGGCCTTCCCTTATCTTTACAACCTTCTTTGTAGCAGGATGGTTCATTGCCAGTCCTTGATGTTCTACAGATTTGTATTCTTTGGAGGAGGTGCTCATTAGGGAGGCATGCATTGCTGATACCCTCTTATCTGGCCTAAGCATTATTTAATACCTTGACTATTCTAAAATTCTCATGTGTTAGTTTCCACTCCTAACTGTGATCCTCTCTTAACTACTAATAACTCCTGCACTATTTCCATTTCATCCAAGAAAAATACATAAATTTGAGGTAACAAGTACAAGATGGTGCCATTGTATTTTTGGTGCTTCAAGCTCAGCTCTCTTTTGCTTTGTTTTCAGTAAGCCAAGTATTTGCAGATTCTTTCTCTACTGTCCAAAATATTTAGAACTGTTAATGTAGGGTTTTTTGTTGTTGTTGTTGATTTGGGTTTGTTTGGATTTTTTTGTAGCTGTTGTCTGTTTATAAAGCCTTCAGCACAACTATCCCAAAGTGTGGCTTAGACAGTTTTCCCTCCCCCCTTTAATTTTCTCAAAGTCTTTAGTAGCATAAAAAGTTCTGTAGCAAAAGGGAAAAAAAAAGAAAAGTTTTTTGTCTGTGTGTGTACCAGAAGGGCACATTAAAAAGGACAGGATAGTTCTGGTGAATTGAAATGGGTCTGTACAGCTTGTTTTCAAACTAAACCTCCAGCTTGTCTTAGAAACCGAATAGTTTTGTCTGTATGTTAAAAGCAAACAGTTTTGGAGTCTGTGCCCTTCTTGTGCAGATTTGTTTTTTCACTATGGAGGGGGGAGAGTGTATTGCAGGAAACAGAGAGCGCCTTACCATTGCAATGCCTGTTCTGCTGGGTGAAACATGTCAGGACCATGAGCTGCATAGAGCTAGCAAAGAGCAGGAATAAGAAATCGGGAGCGGTTCCTCCTCATCCTCTTCACCCTCATCCTTAGTGTGTGGGAAAGCTGGAAACTGATGTGCTTAAACCTTGTGACTTCCAATAAACAAGACAGTTTGCTTCCACTTAAATACTGCCCACCTGGGAGGAGAGAACTTAAGAAATTCTGGAGTTTTATAGGAAGCCTCCCAGCTTCCCTGCCTAACTTTTGCAATAGAAACCCGAAAGGCGGTGATGGAATAACTTGTGTTTTTTGTCTTACTTTCCAGTTGGCCTGCTGCTGCGGTACTGCTGCTTGTTCCTTGTGCTGCAAATGCTGCCCCAAGATAAAACAGTCAACCAGCACCCGCTTCATGTATGCGCTTTACTTCATCCTGGTGACTATCATCTGTTGTGTCATGATGTCAACGACAGTAGCTAACGAAATGAAAACGCACGTAAGTAAGAACCCACTGCTGCCCCTGGAAAGAAATGGGGCTCCTTCTACAGCTTTTCATACATAGGGGCGCTCCCTCAGAAGAGGTGGTCGATTCCCTCCACCCATCCACTTCCAAACACAGACAGGATGATTTTCCGTGCACAGCCTCTTCCTGTCAATTGTTCACCCATCGAGTGTGTTTCACAACAGGAAGGGTCAAGGATTACAGGACTAGCAGCTTTCCTCCTCTTTCCAGGTTTGCTGCGTGGGTGGTGTCACTGGAGGCTGTTAGGGAACATGTTATAGTAGAACAAATTGGTTCAGTCTAATGTTGAACTCGTCTCTGGCAACTGGTTTAGTAGCAGAAGCAGCAAGTTAGAAAATAACTCTTCAAGTGTTGCATTTATAATTTTAATTCTGTTTTCTTGGTGCTGTGTGACAGAGTACTGCAATGCACACTGGTGCAGATCCTTTACAAGGGGTTTTCTTCAGTGTGCGTTGAGTCATCGTGTTCACATGGCCTCTAACCACAGCGATATTGTTCATCTCTAATTGTCTTTTTAATTAAAAAGCTTCAAAAGCATGAAAGGAGCTGTGGCTAAAACTAGATTTTAAAACTCAAGTTTCTTTCAGAGTCTTAATATAACTTCCCTAAACTAAATGCTCACCAGCCTGCTTGCAGTCACACACTAGACCTGTTGTACCACCTCTTTGGTTTGGTTTCTTAAGCCACCCAAGTTGCTCTCAATAGCACAAATCCTCTCTGTGGCCCTCTACAAACTACAAGAAGAGAAGTCTGTTTTTAAGTAGAGGGAACAATGGCTGGATTACTTAATTCTCAAAACTTAAGTTTCTTCACGAATCTCGGCATCAGGCCTGCTTTGAGGTTGTAATGTGCTTGCCCTGGAGGTTCAAAAGGCTTCCCTTGCTGCAGGCATCTAGTTGTTTTGTGGTTCCCTCCCAAGAGGGAGTGCTGGTGGGTGCACAGTTAAGGCCGTTTCTTCGTTTAACTGTATGCTTGTCAAGTTGCTGCTCTCCTTACCTTCTGCGCTTGACTTTCAGTTGGCTGTGAAACACTTCCCTCCGCAGCAGCCCAGATCCGGAAGCTGGTGGAAGCATCTTGTGCCTGCAACACAGATGAGACAGTGGGCTTATGGTGGGGCTAGTTTGAGGGCTTCTGTGCCCTGCTGCCAGTGACCTTTCTTTCTTCCCATTGTACCCATTTTGTATGTTCTGTCCTAATTTTCTTTCATTTAATAGTGCTTTGCTTGAGTTTTCCTAGTGCCACTTTCTTACCCCTGGCCACCAGAAGTTGCTGACAGCCCTGGAGAGCGCCCAGTACAGACATGATACTTGCCTGTGAGCTGCGACTTAAAAACTGTTCAACATGTGTGTCCTGAAATTGCTTGCCAGGAGTTACTTTGACTTACTAGATGCTTAGCTTGGCAATAAAGTGAATAACCCAAGGAACTCAAGTGTGTGGGAGACAAATTACGTGCTCATATCCAAATTTCATAAACTCATTTTCCATCAGTAGTGTGGTTTTAATGCAGCTTGTATCCCTAACAAAAAATACTCACTCTCTGTCCAACAGAAAAGTGATTCAAGAAGCCTTCAGCAACATGCTTTTCAGTATTGCCACATTTCTTTTCCAGTTCATAGTCTTGAAAGCTCAGTGTGGGAAGAAATGGCACAAAGAGTAGCTGTTAGTGTGAAGCGGAAAGATAATCACCCTCTTAATTTAGAGTGTTTGATGGCTGTGAATGGAAAATGGACCATCTGAAAGCAGGCTTTCTTTATCTGCTCTCTAATTTAATAATTATGTTTGGGGCTGTTAAAAGTTCAAAGACTCCTGAAGCTAATTCAGCCCAGTTGTAATAGAGTGCACCTTGAAAATATTTATTCAGACTAACCAGTCACAGCTTCACAATGATGAACTGTGTTTTGAAAGTGCTGGGCACTTACCGATTCCTTTGCTTTTGGCTGGCTTTGTGGAGCACTCCTACCTCCCAAAGCCAGACTGTAAGCAAACACTTTGCATGATGCTTCTAGGACCTCACCCTCTCTTTCTTGAGAAGAGACAGAATTTTAATTAATTGTAATTAGAATTTTTGGGGGGTTGTAGTAAAATAAAAAAATTAAAGCTTAAAATGCTAGTGCAGTTGTTTACAGAGCTGTGATCTTGGCAGGGAACTGTGTGTCTGCTTTACCAGTTCAGAGATCAAATACTGATGCTGATGTTACGTGAAAGGAATCTCCCTTGTCAGTGAGAGGTTTTGTTGGTTGATTGGCTATAAATTCCCAAGTCTAAAGTAGTTCTAAAAGTATTTATTGTACCACTTGGTCCTTTGGCTTTGAGAGGAAGCAACAGCGAATTTACATCTCTTATGGACACCTTAAACAGAGACTTTTAAAAAATGTTTATATTTATTTTGCAGTATTGATCTACACCCATGACTATGCATTCTGTCTATTAAAACACGTTTAGGACAGTTTTTCAGTTCCTGAGGTGCCAGGTGGTAGCCCAGAGCTGGGGACCTGCTCTGTGCCCTGCAGCATGGCTGGCAAAATAAGGCACTGTCCCAGGGAGCTCAACTTCCACATCCTCACCAAAGCTGGCAGGTGGATGAAACCATGTGTCCATGGGAAGACATGGTACCTATGGAGTATTTGGTTATGGTTTCAAAACCTTGGTTTCTAATCTAACCAGCAGCATTTTGAGGATATTGTATTTTGTGGTGAGCCTTAAGAATTGAACAGTGTCTTTGGTCTTGGGAGTGGGGGGGAGAGGTTCTCTGTTTTCACTCTTCTTCCCCATCTTCTGAGCTATTCCCGTGCCCATGGGACACCAAGGGAGAGAGGCCCAAAGGGTTAAATTCTGAAAAATGTGCAAAGAAACCAAGGCATTTGTGTGTGATTTCTGGAGAAGAAGCAAGAGGCAATGGAGGGGTAGGGAAGGAGTGGATGGTTTTGACCAGGAAAATATTTTGAATAGTAGTGTGTAGAGTAGATTTTGGAGGAGCAAGGTGGTATTTGAAAGCAAAAGATGGGGTAGAGCATCAATCAAGACATGAGAGCCTCAGTGATGGGGACAGAAAGGCAGAAAAGACCAATATGCAACTACACAAAATGGTTTCTGTTCCAAATGAAGCAAAGCAGGACCCAACTTGAAGAAGTGCTTTTAAGCCTTGATCTATATATTATTTCTTTCTTCCAGTTATTCTGTTTTTTTGAAAAACAGGTACAGCCTTACTCACAAATGTTCTGTTGAAGCAAAAACCTTGCGTTTCACAGGCTTTGAAAGGATAATAGAAGAAAAGGCAAAGAATTGTTTCGGTCTGTTGAAGTAGTGTTTTGATTTTTTTTTTTTTTTAATTAAATTTTTAATGTTAAAGCTGTTTCAAAACTAGTGGTTTCACCCTGAAACTATCCATGTCCTACTTTAATAATGAAAGGAAAAATAAGAAAGATGTTTTCAGGAAAACAAACACCAGTAAAAAACAGTTCAGTTGTGTCAAGGCATTTCAGTTCTAGATGGTTACGTGTTCTGGCAGAGCACGCTTTCAGGCTTGTTTCCCCAGCCAGGTTTATATCTTGGCCATTAACTGCATTATAGTATGTTAAAACCCAAATTTGCTACAAAAAATGAGGTTTTTTAAGTGCAGATGCCCATGGCCTATTTCTGGTAAGAATTTAGCCATAGATGCAAGATGGCATGTGTTTTGGTCCGATTGTTTTTTGGTTTTCTATTCCATTTCTCAGTCGCTCAAGACAGGTGGTTTTACCTGGTTTATTGCCCTTGTCTCCCCACCTACACAGATTTTTCTTTCATGCTTCCTCCATTTCCATAACAAAGTTTGTCTGCTGCATTCTCCCTCTGTTGGATGAGGACATCCATAGAATCATAGAATCATGTAGGTTGGAAAAGGCCTTTAAGATCATCCAGTCCAACCATTAACCTAACATTACCAGGTCCATCACTAAACCAATTAAGGGTAGAGTAGCAATTTCATGCTTCCTGGCTTGGTGGCTGGATTAATTATAATGAAAGTAAAAACTAGGAATCATTAAGCTTGGAAAGGATCTTGAAGATCATCATTCCAATCATCAACCCAACACCACCATGCCTACTAAACTATGTCCCAAAGTGCCACGTCTACCCGTTTTTGAACACTTCCAGGGATGGTGACTCCACCACCTCCCTGGGCAGCCTGTTCCAATGCTTGACTACCTTTTCTGTGAAGAAATTTTTCCTGATATCTAATCTAAACCTCCCCTGGCGCAGCTTGAGCCCATTTCCTCTTGTCCTATCACTAACTCCTTTGGGCTCTTCAGGCCCATTTCTACACAATTCTTCCTTCCTATTCCCCCTCTGATGCTATTTCCCATGCTCCCTCATTCAGATGTTTGGGTGCAGACAGACCCAAGCTCAGAGGTGGTCAAGCCCCAGCCAGCTGGAGCCTGGACATGGTGTGGCCGTGTTGGATTGCTTCTAGCAGTGCATTCATTTCGAGTGCCATCAGCTCACAGTGAGGGGAAAGGAAGTTCAGGGCAGTCTGTGCCTGTTTCTGTAGATGTTGGTATCGTCTCAAAGGGTTTCACTGCACTCAGAAAATGGCCACCTTTCCTGTGATAACATCAATGTTTGTGCAGTAACCAAGGCATTTACATTGTCTGAGTGCATACTGAGTTTCTGCGGCAAGAATGCTTTGTTCCCTGCTCAGAGGCCAAAGAATTTAACTTATGTTGCTTTTAAAGGTATAAAAGTAGCTATTTCATTATATCAAACTTGGCACTAATGCGTGACTTCAGCAGCTGGCAAAGCTACCCAGCAAATGGAAAGGCTGGTAAATCACATAGGCTGGGCAGGCTGCTCAGCAGCTGAAGATGTTTCAGAGACACAGAATTTAAAAAAAAAAAAAAAAGTGTTTTTTAACTTTCAGTGAGGAAGGCACATAAGGCTTGATAAATTGTTCCCAGAAGTAGACCATCCTCTCATGAAAACATGCCCTTTTCATTACATCAGCCCTTTTGTCCCCAGCATTGTGCTCATGTTTATTATCTGTTGGCATCCCTACGAGTTTGGTGTTATTCTTGATTTGTTCCTTCAGGATCACGGGTTGCCAAAAAGGGTGTTCAATCCCACAGGACTATTCCTGTGGCCATCACTTATTACTGCGTAGTGTTGTGCATACTACATGACGGTTGAACTCTTTGTTGCTTGTGTAGGCACAAACTGAGCTATTGTTCTTGTGAATCCATCCATTTTCTCTAAGCCAGATCTGGAAGGAAATTACTACTAAATGGAGAAAACATACAGGGTCAAAAATCCCATCAAGATCTCTATAGAAACCTATGCAATTAAAAAAGATGCCCATTTACAGTTACACAGAGATCTGTTTTTAATTAGCTAGTCAGTTAATCAAGTTCCATGGTATTTTTTTGTTTTGTTCCGTAAGTCTTGTAAGCAAAATGCTGCTTTGGTACCAAGTACAGATCTTACAGAAATCTGTCTTCTTGGTCAGTACTATCATCTATATCAAACAAAATTTTCTCAGAAATATTGTTAGTTCAATATTATGCATCTTTTTAATCTCTGCTGACTGATGGTTATTATAAGCAAAAAAATGGAAAGCATTAATTGATAGCCCAGTTGCTTTTCCTGGCATTGCTGTGGCCCTTTGGCTTGCCCTGGCATCACTGTGGCATTGATAGGTCTCTTAATTATTCCAGTCAATACATTTTCTCATTTTGGATGCTGGCACGTTTGCCCAGTCTGACATTTCATTGCCTTTCAAGACCTGGGAAAGGCATCGCTGATGCACAAGACAATTTCTCAAGAGCTCTGTAAAAACTCTTGGATGTGAGTTAGCTACGTTTACTCATTTACTGTCCAGCTTCTTAGGCAGTGGCTACTCATCTCTTGAGTTACTTGTGAAAGAGCGTCTCAGAGCGGCCCAGATTGAATCTGTTCTTGTAACACCATGCAGCTACCACAAGACCTGCTTTTCATCTCCTTGGCTGGTTCTAGCCCACCTAGGATCAGCTCGGTACTGTAGTCAGGTTTGCTACCCTTAGCACAGCAGCTCAGTGTTACTGCGAGCTGCTAAAATATTTGCTCCTTTTGGGAAACTGCTAGGAGGGTTGTTAAGCTTCTGGCTGGTTTGGGTTGCTGGTACGCAATGGGAAGTTGCATACCCTGCTGAGGGAAGCAGGCTTTCAGAGCCTGGTGGCTGGAAGCCAACAGTTTATGTGTTTCCTGCATCTCGGATGGCTTTTTACCCAGCTGGGAACACTGCCTGATCGCTTGCTCTCTGGTCCTGTTTGTTTTTTTCCTATCCTGGTTTTCTGTACTGACCTGCCTGCTGAAGGAAGAGGAGACTGCTGTCTTTGCTAAGTCCTGGTTTTGGCTGGGATAGAGTTAGTTTTCCTCCTAGTAGCTGGCATAGTGCTGTGTTTTGGATTTAGTATAAGAATAATGCTGATAACACACTGATGTTTTAGTTGTTGCTAAGTACTGCTTACACTAGTCAGGGACTTTTCAGCTTCCCAAGCTCTGCCAGGTGCACAAGAAACTGGGAGGGGGCACAGCCAGAATAGTTGATCCAAATTGGCCAAGGGGCTGTTCCATACCGTATGATGTCATGCTCAGTATATGAACTGGGGGGGTTGGCTGGGGGGCAGCAATGGCAGCTTGGGGACTGGCTGGACATCAGTCAGTGGGTGGTGAGCAGTTGCATCACTTGGTTTTCTTCCCCAGGTTTTGTTTTTCTCTCTCGTTCTCCTCTTCACTACAATTTTTATTACTATTATTTTTATTTTATTATTTTATTTCAATTACTGAACTGTTCTTATCTCAACCCACAAGTTTTCTTTCTTTTGCCTTTCCAGTTGTCTCCCCATCCCACCCAGGGGGGGAAGGGTGAGCGACCGGCTGTGTGGTGCTTGACAGGGGCTAAACCACAACAGCTAATTTCTTGGAAATTTTCAAGGATGGCATTGCCCACAATCTTTGTATATTTCTCCTAAGCAAAATCTGTCCTGGCTGAATGCTTTCTGAAGTCAGATTCCCATTTCCTTTGCCCAAGTTACTTATTTGTGCATGTTGTGTCCTGGCATACATTGTCTTCTGTCTCCTCCAGTGACCTGTGCGAGTAGCAGCGGTCAGCTCCAGCGGGTTTCATGTGTTGCTCAACTGGTCTCACCAGCCCTGGCTGCGGGCTGTGAGCGTACAGAGAGGCCCTTCTTTCTTCAAAATGAACGGTGGTTTTCTAATTAAATGCCTGTATTTCTGCACAGCTGAATGACTCCCTGGCTGCAAGGCGGGGGTGTCTGCACAGAGGCACCCCACAGGAGTGGGTCCTGGCCACATAAACGTGCTTTTTTGAGCGCCCAGCATCATGTCTGCCTGGTGAAACTGAAGCCAAACTGTGCAGCTGTTTGCTTTTCCCTCGTGGCAAGAGCAAGGCCTCAAAGGCAAATATTTAATGAGTCAAGAGAAAGGTGGCATTTTCCTGCCTTTCTGTTAATTTAAAAACAGGGCAACTGGCACAACTCCCTTTCGGAGGCTGTGATGGAGGGGAGGGGGCTTGGGTGTGCTGCTTGGGTGTGCTTCAGTCTACGTTTTCCACTGAGAGCAGCATGAGCCAGAGCTTCCTGCCCTGCAGTCCCATTCATGCCCCTTTGGCTAGTAAAACCTCTGGTGTGGCTCATGTAAGCTGGATTACTGAAGCAATCAAAGTCTTTTGCTGTAAAGCATGGGAAGAAGGGAGAGGGTCCCTGGGGTGAGGGGATAAGCAGTAAGGGGCAGGTATGTCTTAAGCCAACAGAGCTGAAGGAAAGGTAGGTGGACTTGTACCCCAAAGCGTCTGGAAGGAGTTGAGAGTTGAGGCTCTGGAAAACTCCAGTCCCTTGTGTTTTACATTTCTTCATGTCCCTGGAACCCTTAAATCCAGGCTGAGGGATATCAAGAGTGAAAGGTGTTAAATGAAGCCAATGAAAAGTCAGTGGTACATAGACATGCTTAGTTACAAGGAGCCCTGAGTCTTACCTAATGGCTTGTAACATGTTGTGCTTTTCAGATTCCCTTCTACAAGCAGATGTGCGAGGGTATTCAGGCGGGCGAGATGTGCGAGAAGTTGGTGGGATACTCTGCGGTGTACAAAGTCTGTTTTGGAATGGCATGTTTCTTCTTTTTGTTCTTCTTGTTCACCATCAAAATTAACAGCAGCAAAAGCTGTCGAGCCTACATTCATAATGGGTGAGTGTTTGCTTAATTTCCACTTCTCTTTACAGGTTTGTGCTGCCTACTTCCCAGTTGGGTGTAGTACTAGGAAGAAAAAAACCCAAAACAAAACAAAAGCTGATTTTACTACTTTTGTCAGAAATAATGCAGTCAAGCGAAAACTAACTGAAGTGGCAATCAGTCATCAAAGGCTGGTTTTTTTCTTGTTGGGCTTTAAATAAAGATTTCTCATGGTACTTGAGTTGAAGACCTCTAATTCCTATCATAACCAGATTTTTTTTTTCCCCCTCCTTTTCCAGATTCTGGCTTATTAAACTTATACTTCTGGCAGCAATGTGCTCAGGAGCCTTCTTCATTCCTGATCAGGACACCTTCCTCAATGGTATGCCCTTCTTTTGTTATGCTGCTTCATTTTGTACTACCTTGTGAGCGGTTAAAAATCCTAAAGGTCTGATCAACATGAATATTGCCATATTTCTTCAAGTAAAGCCAGTATAGTCCAGGTGCAAAAGGAATTATTTGGAGCTGTTTGGAGGGAACTGTGTGCGCACAGAATACGTGGTCTTTGTGTGAATGTGCAGTAAAGCGCATGGTTTTTTTCTGACCAAGAGGAGGCCAGATGGGTAGGTAAAATTACCACTGCGGTGCTGTCTTGCAAATTCTTTCAGAAGCAGGGAGCTGTAATGGTACACAAGAAATTATTTACTCAAGAGTGCAGAGCCGCATGCTAGTTTGGCTTGTGCAGGTAGCTCTGCTGTAGTGCAGCAGCCAGGGTCCGTGCTGCACGGTGGAGAGGTGCCAGTGCTGAAGGGGGCACGCCGACCTGCCGGGCACTGGTGTTTGCTGCCTGGAAACCTGCAATGCCACAAAAGAATTTGGGATGTTGTTACCTTTCAGGCTGGTGGTGTAAATGCAGTAAGGCAAAATTAGAGTTCTTGGGGTGTGTTCCGAGTGCTGTGCTGAGGATGCTGTGCCTGAAGCATTTCCAGTTTTGGAAGACGCCCTGGCACCTCACAGGCATGCTGGTACTGGCCCAGTGCTTAAATGCCAGCTCTGTGGGGGCCTTCTCACAGGCCTCTGGTGGGCTAGAAGCAAAAATCCCAGTGATAACCAGGACGAGCTTGTGCTCTTCTGTTTGCCAGGTACTTGTAAGCCCTTAAGCCGTTGAGTCTGGGCGGGTGGAAAGCGGTGGGATCAGTAATGCAAAGGAACGGTTGTGTCTGCTGCCTGCTTCCACTACGGCTTGCTTGGTTACCTGTGTTTCCAACACTAGTGTCCTCTAGCTGGGTGTTTAAAAGGGGAAGAGGAAGGAGTAACATGGGGGAAGAGAATAGAGTGGGCAGATGTACTGTGGGCACAGTGCTCTGGGAAACCATGGTAAAAAACACTTCAGGTAAACCACGGATAGGTGTAATTCAGCTTCGTGCTCTGACTGGCTGTTTGTTTGGTCCTGGTTCAGTTTGACACCCCAGAAGTGAAGGGCTCCTTATCCCTATTCCTCTCCTCTGCGAAGTCACAGGATGGCTGTATGTACTTGTCCTTAGTATGTAATCACTGTTTGGATTAGAAAGATGTAGCGGTGCAATGCATTGTACTCACGAGCGAGCGAGACTGTCTGTCATCTTTGCAGGTGACCCTTTTCATGGTGAAAACTCATCAAGAATTGAAGTGTTTGGGGGGAAAAAGGGAAACAGAACTTTTTGTGCTGAGTAGAGTGCTATTTCTCAACAGCAGTCTAACCTAGTGTGGAGGTTAAGCATAACAAGCTTTCTTCCCCAAATTCGCTCTTGACTTTTCTGTCTAAAGCTGTATTCTGCACATCCTGCTAAACTGCCCTCCACTCAGCCCCTGAATTTGAGATTTGCAGATGGTTTTGGTATTGTGTGGTTTTGTTTTCCCTTTTTTTTTCCCCTCCCATCAAGAAACTTACACTGGGTTGGGGTTTTTTTTTTGAGCATTCTCCCAGTTTGCCTATTTTTTCTTTAAAAAAAAAAAGCTCTTGCCATGCTTCCCATGCTTAGCAGTTTGTTAATCCTGGAGAAGAAGTATTACGTGCAAGCACTCGGTTTATGTGGGCTGTAGTGTTAAATCCACACTGGCTATACTAACCTTAGCTGTGATGGATCTATAAAACATTGTGCAGTGTCCCACCTGTGGCAGTAGGAGATCCTGAGAGTCAGGCTATTTAATTACTCACTCCATCGGTGGTCTGCTTTTTCTTACTCTATGTCTCCCAAACACACATGCACACCTTGTTCTCTGCCTATTTTTTATGTACTTTATTATGTGCTAGCTTTTTCCGTTTTTTGTTTTGTTTGAAGAACAGCATGCTTACCAAGTACATAGAATAAATTTCAAAACCAGACAAACGGCCTTTTTGCTTGCTTTCAAATAATGAGCTTATGGTACAGTAAAAAGACCAATCTTTACATCATATGCTAAGGGTCACGTGCCCTGACTGTTCTGTTCTTCCACTTCACTTAATACAAGCTTTTTTCAAAAGGAAAACACAATGGTAGAGTATGACTGAACTTTCATAATGCGCTTCTTTGGTCGTCTTCACTGAAATCAGCTGCACACCTGGAGTAATTTATAGGCTATGCACTGCACAGCAGCACAAGCTGTATATGCAACTAAACATTTAAATCGGTATCTGTATTTCCTCAGAGACTTCTGATGTTGCACATAAGTGATCTGTTGTCTGAAGTATCCAAACAGCTACCTAAATACAGTATATGTAGGTCAATGGTTAAGTAGTGAAATAGCCTGTCTTAACATTAGTCAGTAAATACCAAGTGTTCCTGTCTCTTTGGGAGTGGCTCAGGACAGCATTTGTAAATAGATAAGCTCCACCTTTGTTTTTCTGTGGTACTGGAATCTGGAAGGGAAGACATTGCCCTTTTTAGTACTGGGTTCCAGTACCTTGCAATGTCAGGGTTTAGATTCCCTGTGAAATGCCTTCACGCCACCTCCTTCCCGCCAGTCACAAATAAAGGTTTCAGTATTTTCTGTCTGAATATGGTAATTCATAGTCTCCACAAAAATTCTCTAGGTTAGGGAAACTCAGTCAATGTCCTAAGAAGCTTATTTTGAAAGTGTAGCAGGTTGCAGGCTGAATTCATCAGGGAGCTAATCTTGAGTTAGCTGAGCTGACCTTTCAGCTGAAATCTCTCATCTTCTGCTACATCTGTGTGCTTGAGATATTCAAACCATGTAATGGTTTCACTGCATAGACAATAATTCCATTTCATCTCAAGGGAAAGGCAACTGCAGTTTCACCTATTTTTGCCTCTCTGCCTTGCAGCCTGGCGCTACGTAGGAGCAACAGGAGGTTTCCTTTTCATTGCCATTCAGCTCATCCTGCTTGTTGAGTTCGCACACAAATGGAATAAAAATTGGTATGTGTTGGGCAAGTAGTTATTTGCATAAAATTCTGGTGGACTCCTGAACAATGCATTTCTCATAACAAAGAATTTAAAAGTAGCACGGATGTAATTTCTGAAAGAAGACACTTTAATGTCCACATTTAGAGCTGTTCATCTTTGTTTCATCCACTTTCTCCTTCCCCAGCGGAGATGTTTCCTCCTTATTCACTTCTACGCTGCTGATTTATTCTTAACCTGGATTGCTCGGCTTCCAATAAGTAGTAGCATGTTGGGATGCAAAAATGTCTTGCTTTAAGTTGTTTTATATTTTATATGAAAATATACCTGCTAAGAAACAGAGTGGTGCAAGAGAATGAAACTAGATTTGCAAAATGTAACAATGAAACTGTGTGCAGTGATGTAAACTGGTAAATCCTGCTTTTTTGTGTCAGCTTAATGCACGTCAGTTTTTTTTTTCTCAACATGAGAGCTGCTACTTTCTCTGCAACTTCTTTGCTTTCATCTAAATATGCAAGATTCCGTTATCAACCCACATATACCCCATTTTGGCATTGACTTCATTTCTGGTTTAAGCATATTTGCTATTACCTTCCTAGCCCTTAGCCTCTCATCAGTTTAAAATATTTAAATTGTCCTCCCACATACACAGGAACTCCTGCCTCCACCTCCACACTTGCTGTCTCTCATTTCTTCCTCTACAAACCTTTGCAGTCCTCTCTTGTTCTAGTTAGCATAGTGACTGCTAAGGAGTTTTAGCAAACCTTAGGGCTTTGTTAGATACCTGTTTTCAGGGAGGAAGAGGTGAGATCTCCTTATAGCACAGATATTTTTACTGCTAATTACCGTAGCTGCTTTTCTGTGGATGAAAGTTTTCCAGCAGCAGCATTTAACTTTAGCACTCTCTACATTAGATATTTTTTTAAAATAAATCACGTTTCCACAAAACAAAACAACAAGAAAAAAAACAAACCAAAACAAAAATCTTCCGCGCACCAGAAAGCCCTTTATGCAAAAACAACTTTTTTAGTCGCTACTCCTAAAAAACCCAGTGATCTTTGCAAGAGGTGTTTGGAAGGTGAAGAGCGGAAAACAAGATGTATCACGCTTTAGCTGAGGGAGACTGGTGGGATAGACCCAAATGGAAAGGAGGCTTTTTGAGCAAAAGGGTGGTAAAACTGCCAAGGTAGTGCAAGGGCAGAAGAGAGGCTGTGCGAAGCAATATGCCTTTGCTGTCCTTGTGTGAAGAACACATCTCCCTAGCTGAGCCTGGGGCACTCTGGGTTCCCGCTGAGGAAATCCTGACATATGTGCTGATGGGCTGATCCCAGAGGTTGGGAGTTCTTGGAGTCATGCTGGGCTATAATTACAGAAACAGTTGGGCATGATAATGCAGAAGATAAACACTAATGCTAAGGAGTGTTTCTCTGTTTCACGGGAGGAACCTTGCAAGGGCCTGTGTTTGTATAGTGACATATACATGCTTCAGGAAAGTAAGCACTGTCTTTTGTGTTTGAGAGCCTGAACTATTCAGCTATTAGAATTTTATTTTGGGGGGAAGGGAAGACAAAGATAAAGTGCTTGCCTCTCTCTCCCCAGGACTGCAGGTGCAAACCACAAGCAGATGTGGAATGGTTTGCTTGCCCTAGTCACTCTCATCTTGTACTCTGTTGCTGCGGCAGCTCTGGTCCTCATGGCTCTTTTCTACACGCGCTCAGAGGGCTGCATGTACAACAAGGTCCTGATCGGCATTAACGGTGGCCTGTGCCTGTTTGTGTCGCTGGTGGCCATATCACCCTGTGTCCAGAATCGTGAGTCCGCTGACCTCTTCTCCTCCTGGGTTCTGGTGCTGCCATAGTTGTGTGCCTGGAGGTGTGAGCATGTTCTGGGCAGAAAGTCTCATGATAGTTCAGAGCTGGTGCTGCTCTTGCCCCTGTCCCTTTATCTACACTATGAAGTGTTGCTGCTGGTCATCAGCTCAGCTGCTGAAACTACAGCAGTGTGAGACATCGAGTGTGCCATTAGGCAGTCATACTGTAAAGAAGGCTCACATGCTGATGGCTGGTAATGTGTTGTGGAGCTCACACAACTCTTGCAGTGGTAGCAGTTGAGGTAATAGCTGTCAAATTCATTCAACACTGAATTTTACTTTTGACTGCTTGTCATTTACCATCTGTAAAGCTTGGGTCTGGAGAAGCTGACAGCAGTATTTCATGCTTTGGTATATTTTATTTATTGGACCTGGAAATAGTAATTTGAGTGACTCCAACACAAATTTTACAGGAATTAAAACTATCATGGCAGCTTGGCAATAGCTTTTTGGAAGGCTGGTGCTTTTGGCAAGAGCAGAGGGCTGATTCTTTACTTAAGTGGGAATCTTTAATGCCTTCCTAGAACATCCAGCAGAACTAAAGGACAGACTCGGAAATGGATCTAAACTGCCTCAAAGACTTATGAACTGCTTTAAGTAAAACATAAAAGATACTCTTCTCTTCTGAAAGATACTAGTGTGCTGTTCTTTAGAGGATATGAGTTTCTTTTTCAGTTTGTTGAAATGTCTGCAAAAATCACTTGTTTTCCTCTTTCTTGTAAAGGCCAGCCCCATTCTGGTTTGCTGCAGTCAGGAGTTATCAGCTGCTATGTTATGTACCTCACTTTCTCAGCACTTTCCAGCAAGCCGTCAGAAACTAGTAAGTTATCTAATGCTTCATCTAAATTCTTTTAGACATGCTGTGTATTAAAAGCAAGAATTAAGCAAACCTGAATTAACAAATTCAGGGATATAGGATTGCTGCGTTTGGTCTGTTCTGGCCTATGGAGAAGAAACTGCAAATGCTAGAAATAAATCTGTGCAGCAGAGAGACCGTGCAATCGGCACTCTCCATGGACCTTAAATGCTTTGGTCTAGGGGAGCTTAACTTACCTTGGGTACGTTGCATGTGTTGCACCAGAGCAATTCCAGCCTATTTCCTATGGGCAAATTTCTCAGTGTCTTGTAGCTTATCCTTCATGTGGCAAATGCATGTTCTCGTACGACAGGACATGACTAAATATGTAACGTGTTTGGTCACATGATGAGAAAGGAGTTGGAACAAATGGCTCTTGGATGCCTCTGGAAGAAGCTGGGTGATCAGCTCCATCCAAAAGTTTACTAGGGCCACCACCAGTTAGTAGGTGCTGGCCATCAGAGTGGATACTAAAATCACTTATTTTCTCCTACTATTTCTGTATGCTAGATAGCCTTAGCTCTGGACTCCTAACGGAGCAAAACTTGAGTACCACTTGTCTTCTGCTTTGAGAGAAAAAATTCCAGGAACGGACTTGGTGTTATGTTGCAGTTGTTGGAGATGATGCTGCTCTTCAGCAAAGTTCCTGTATTCCACTTGCCTCCTAACCATTGGCGTTGCAAGTTAGGAGTAGGGAACTCCCTAGAGTTTTGAGTTCTTTATGCTACAAAAATGATAGCAAGACTTTACAAGCACAACTCAAACTGTTTCCTTTTCCCACATAACTATCAGATTCACCTATTTGGACACAGAGCATTCTTTTCACTTACAGAAGACTTTTGTGGTTCAAATTAGTAATGTTAAACCCACCTTCTTTTTTATTGCTCAGCTTTCAGTGTTGAATAGTTGAAACAAGAATTACTAGAGGAAAGTAAGTCTGTTGGCAGGAAGGAGAAGTTTTTACCAACACCTTCCAAGAAGAAAGGGGAGAGATGGGTGAAAGAATCCTCTGTCATGCTTGTGTAGGCACAGGCACACAGACTCAAACATATTCTAGAGCTAAGAAGAAAAACCAGACAGTATTTAGGTGGAAGATTTACTTATGGAGCTTAAGCAGTGTTTTTGAATGATTATAGAAGTTAATTTAGAAGGCATCTGAACTACTCATAAGGCTTGACACAGAGTAAAAAAGAAAAAGAAGAAAAAAGGAGAAGAAAGTGATCTATGGTACTAAACCATGCAGACCTCCTGAATCAGATGTTCCTCCTTGTCTTCCCAGGCCAGAGAACTCTCTTGGTTGTCATCTGCTCTCAGAGATGCTCCTTTCTCCCCTGTGTGATAAGGAGTCTCATACCGGCCTGTACAGCTTTTACAGTGGCATGTGCTGGAGAATGTATGGGGTTCTGGCACTTACTAAAGTCTCCCATGCCCTGTCACTCAGATTTGTCATGAACTTACCTGATGTTGACTCATTCCTTAAGGAGGGACTTTCAAATTGGCCATCTTGCAAATCAGCCCCCTTGCAAACCAGGCTTGAAGAAAATGCAAGCTACAAGTATTTATTTGCAACACCCAAAAAGCAGAGTTGCAAATGTCTTTAGAATGAATGGGCAAACAAAAGGTAATGTCTGTTGAACCTGTGCTTATCACAGTGTGCCTTAGCTTTTTCATGCCAGACCTGGCTAAAAGGCCTGCCAGACAGTGGCCCTGCCTTGCTGCAGATGTGTCCTTGATGGACGCAGGTGGGGGCATTCTGCATGTCTCTGGCCAGGGTGTTCGTGTGTCCAAAGAAGGGCAACAAAGGTGGTGAAGGGTCTGGAGCACAAGTCCTATGAGGAGCGGCTGAGGGAACCAGGGTTGTTTAGCCTGGAGAAGAGGAGGCTGAGGGGAGACCTTATTGCTCTCTACAACTACCTGAAAGGAGGCTGTAGTGAGGTAGGTGTTGGTCTCTTCTCTCAAGTAACAAATGATAGGATGAGAGGAAATGGCCTCAAGTTGCTCCAGGGGAGGTTTAGATTGGATATTAGGAAAAATTTATTCACCGGAAGGGTTGTCAAGCATTGGAACAGCCTGCCCAGGGAAGTGCTTGAGTCACCATCCCTGGAGATATTTAAAAGACATATAGATGTGGCGCTTAGGGACGTGGTTTAGTGGTGGACTTGGTAGTGTTAGGTTTACGGTTGGACTCGATGATCTTAAAGGTCCTTTCCAACCGAAATGATTCTATGATTCTATAAAGGCTTGTCATCCCTTCTTTTGCTCCCACCTTTGTGCTGTCCCTGCTGCTTGCTGACAAAGCTGTTTGTGCAGCCCTGGAGCGCCACACAAAGTCCTCCCCCCACCAGGTCAGGGGACTGACTTGAAGTTTATTTTTAACCTGGGTGTAGGCTTTGCTACATTTTGCCCTCTGCCCCTACAAAGAGTTGTGCTGTTCCAACGGGGATGCAGAGTGGCTGCTGGAAGGAAAGAGGAGATGGGAACACAGTTTGGCTTAAACTGCATTGGCTCAAAAAGCTCTTGATTTGAGATAAGGTGCAGCTGTAATCTCTTGCTTTGGAGTGATGCCGCAGGCTACTGCTCTGCTTTGCTTTGACCCCAAGTGGACACTAAAAAGTCAGGTGCATTTTGGAACATCGAGGACTGAATTGGTTTCATTTCAGGGACCTAGAAGTAGTGTTTGTATAGTTGTTAGGATAAAATCTTCCCTGGGTCCTGAAAGTAGTATATGCTCAGATACTAAGCTAAAATCTTGCCTTTAACTGGTGCATCTGCTTTTCTTGGGTCTTCTGTGTATCAGTCTGAGAACAGGGCAGTTACACACCACCTTTTTTCACGGAGTATGAATTTCATAGTTGTCCTCAAGGCACCCCTGCTGTCAAAGAAATCTATGGTCTCAGGTCTGTACTATCTCGGTGTTATATGGCTCTATAGTCTTGCGTGAAATGTTGGTAAACTTCCAACTTCTTAGTTCACCAGACAGTCTTTTTCCTTGTTCGTCTGCTCTGGTCAAACAAGAAATTTTAGTACCCTACTAAGTTGCATTTTTGTTTTGCCAGAAACACAGAATCTGCCAGGTCAGATTTACAGAATGTTTTTCTGTATGATCTTTTTAACAGATAGATAGAACCCACTGAAATGTACCTACCTGGTGTCTGAAGTAATACTGTGCTGAAAACCTTCAGTCTGAAGAGTACTTTGAAATGCAGTGAAATAAGCTTTGCTAACTGTTCTCTTTGTTTCTTTTGTTTTGTGAAGTCCTGGATGAAAACAATCAGAACATCACAATCTGTGTACCTGAATTTAGCCAAGGCCTGCACAGAGATGAAAACCTCGTTACTGGCCTGGGTACTACCATTTTGTTTGGCTGCATTTTATATTCTTGGTAAGTTTACAGGTCTTGGGGTTTACAGTTACCTCACTGTAAATGCAACTAGTAAAGGCTTATAGCAGGCCTCATGCAGACAAGTGGAATAGAACTGAGCTGGAAGGTTCATATTCTCCTTATATATATATATACACACACACACACATAAAACACCATTCAGAATGGTTAGATGTTTTAGCCAAAAATGTTCAACAAGATACTGTAACTTTTGAAACAAATGTATTTCATTAAAACTGAATAGAGCGATTTACATCTAGAGGTGGAGGGAAAAAATTTCCAGCCTCAGGTCTCCCCAACAGTCTCAGGGTGCTTTGATTCTGTATTTACTCTTTCTGTAAGAAAAACTCTATGCAGTTATGTTCTTCTAGAAAAGCTAACTGAAATTTTGGTAGCTTCCTGGCAGAGGCTGTGACTGTTCCTTGAGGGTCTTTAAAACAAAACTGTTTAGGAGGGTTTAGGGCTTCCTTTGAACAAGTGGTGAGCACAGTACTGCCATGGGTATTTGCCAGTGATCTCCTGCTCTAAAAGAATCTGTTTGTGCCCACAGAGCTGTGATGCTTACCTTGTGTTATTGCAGCTCACATCAATAAATTAAGTCATGCTCCGGGACGGGGAGGGGGGGAGTTGCTGATGATTGAAAGGTGATGTATCACTCATTTTGGCTGTGCAGGTTGCCAGGAGGCAGCACTGTCTGCTGCAGGTTTTTGAGCAGGTTCTGCTTCTGAATCAGTCCACTTCAAAATTCACATACTGAAACTCCTTCAGAATTTTGAAGTGAAAACAAGAGACTTTCTGAAGAGGTAGCACAGCTACTCTTCTGCTAGCAAATATGCAGATGTGTTCCATTTAATTCTGATATCAAATATATGGATATCGTGTATCATGGATCTAGTTCATATGAGAACAGTATTTCCAGTGCCTCAGGAAGATGTTTCAGGAATGCAGACAAGTTTCACATAGCCTGCAGGTGAAGTGCACCATGTAGCTGGGAAGATAAGAAGGCCTTCAAGGGGAATGTTTTGAAGTGTTGCTTATGAAGGCTCAGCAAAGCATTAACACGTCTGCCTGTGAGTAATGGGAAGTTTGCATTACACATCCAGAAAGGGGAAGACTGGGCAAGAAATGTTTCTGATCAGAAGAAACTAGAAAGGATTCCCCTCAGACAAATACAATCATGCAAGCAAGTGATTTCCAGCAACTGGTACACTGGCAATAGTGCTTGGTAATTTACTTTTGAAAACTGACTGCTGCCAGTGACCTGTTACTTTGCTGGCAAAGTCTTTACAGAAACGCTGAGCCAAAGTGATGGCTGTGAAGTTAATATAAAAGTATTCGTTGTGCACAGCAGGGGAGATCTCTCCTGAATTGCAAACTGGAGCGCTTAGCCATCTGATGGTGATGAAATTGCCACCTTTCAGGAGTGACCTACTTTTAAGCTCGTGATTCAGCCTGAGTTGGCCAGTGGCTGGCTGTCAGGCTGGCTTATACTTGTGCAGAACAAACTTTTCACATGCTTAATGCTTGATGCTGTATCTGGGCAAATGCTTAGTTTAGACATGCGAGTAGACTATTTATGTTTGCCGTGGTGTTGAAAAATCACCCTGCTGGGCTTATACTTATGCTGAGGGTTTTGACACTGTCTTCTTTTGCTCCTAGTTTGACCTCAACAACACGAGCAAGCTCAGAGGCACTGAGGGGAATATATGCAACACCTGAAACTGAAGTGAGTTCTCGCTTCCTCCCACAGGATTTATGTGCAGACTTCCTCATGTGCTTTTCTTGCTGTTGTTTTCATGGCTAAGTAGTCTGTAATTAGGTGGAAACAAAAGCTTGTTTGTAGCATGTATGCTGCGTGCCTCTGGGTATGGACTGGTCAGGGCACTCGTCCACACTGGCCCTTCTGCCACTCTTGCCAGTCCCGTGGAGGTGCCTTTATGTACGGAAATAATTTGCTGCTCTTGTAGTTTATTTAATATCCTGCAGGCTTCCTGTAAATCTTGTTATGCTCCACACAAGCTCATGTCCTCTCATTTAAAGGAAAAGTCTGCTGGGATGCTACCAAAAAAAGAAGTGGAGGTGTTCTTGAATGTTTTTAGTCCTGGTTGCTTTTGTTCTCATAGCAACTGACTGTGATCCCAAGTTCCTAGCTCTTATTTTTATTTCCACACATAAGTACTGCCCTTCTTTTTGCCTATAATTTCATCTCGGATAATATTTCTTGTCCCTGTTTCAGCAGTACAGGTTTCTTCATTCCACCTGCCTATTTCTTTGGCCTTCTGGGAACACCCAGAAACACTGGGAAATGAGTGGGGTTTTTGCTAAGTGACAGTTACCCCTTACTTAGGCTTGCTAGTGTCACTCTTCAAATATACGTGTGTGTTTGGAGGATGAATCTCCATCCCTAGCTCGCTCTATATTGGTGTTACTTGCATCTGCAGTTTTAAGTTCTGTTTTTCAAGTCTTTAATCAGAGTGTTTGTGAGAATCCAAAAATGCAGAAGTATCTGCTGAGGCACTTGGTGTTTGCCATAGCTGGGCGTGGGGAAGCAAAACCCCTTTCGGTGTGGGAGCGTGTTGGTGCCGGAGCAGCTTCCCTCTGGCAGGACGGTGCGACTGGACCGGGCACCGGTGCCAGCCCTGAGGAGCTCGGTGCCCCGTGGCTCCTCGCCCGGTGGCTCCTCGCACCGGCCCCAGGCCTCGCAGGCGG